ACTGCTAACCTGTTGACCTCACTGTAGTCACCTCTGCTTCCTTCTCCAGGCCTGCCTGGGCTACATTGGTTCCTCTTAAAAATGGCCCCTGTTGGAATTCTTAGCTGAGATGGATTAGTTTGTCCTGAATGTGTGCATTAGTTTCCATCCAGATGTTTAAAGAGCGTATCACACTGTCTTTCATTTTGCACTTTCTTCTCCCGGTTTGAGAACAGGTGTGTGTTTTGAGGTGGTGGCTTCAAACTGATATGCTAACTTGAAATGCAGAATTTTAACCCGAATACATTTTTCATATTTAACATACTTATTGCTTGCAAGCTGACCAGTGCTGAATGGGCGGCATAACCCAAAGCCTTCACTTAGCCAACTATTTTTATTTTGAAGATATCCTTAATTGTTTAAAAGAACTATTTTCTTTGTCCCATACACGTATGTACTAAGTAGGGGAGGCCCAGAAGATGGTGTGTGGCTGTTTGATTTGACCTGAAGTTGGTATCTTTGTGGCTGTCTTTCTCGAGCTGTTTGCTTTGTAGACCAGAGTATCTGTTCTGCCTACGTTTTGAGTCCTCTGCCACAGGTTCTCACTTATCAGCTGAATCTAAGTGCAGTTGGTGAATTGCCTGCAGAGAACTGGTAATACGTGCAGAGCAGATAGCTCAAGAAAGTGATCCCACAGGTTATGTCATGCCTGCAGTATACAATAAACAGTTTACACGTCTAGAACAGCATTTTCCTTTCTGTCAGGCATTTCTAAGAAATCCCTTGCAGATCTTTGCCTACTGTTCTCTCCCCATGGTGCTGTTCTAGCATCCCACCCAACACTCCAGTATGCTTAACTTAAAGATTTCATTTTCTTTTTTCAAGTCGCACTGGACTCTAGAGCCACATAGACCTGGTTTTAGAAACAAGTTGCCTGTTTTCCCGATGGACAGCATTGAAGCTGAGGGGTAGTCTCCAACAGGTGTCCCAAGGAGAATGTTTTCTGTGAGCTTAATTCCTTGGTGGTGGAATACATGGGCGTGACTTGACCCTCGGCTTCCTTTCTTGAGTTATCTGCTCTGTATAGATGTTCTCTGGTTTCAGATTGTGGCACAGTGTGTAGTCTGCATTGTGATGGTGGGGACCTGATTCTGTGTGTGGACTGCATTGCTTGGTGAAAGGGTGCGGCGAAGGAATGGAAAGACATTCTCAAATGGATGCAAAGCCAAAAAGATTTTCTCTCTGTCTGGAACATCTTGGTTGCTCCAAAGCATTCTAGTGTGCATGTTCAAGTGAGCCAGCGCATCCACCAGACTTTCTTCAGATTCATTCTCAGTGCTCTCTGTCTTTGTCACATTTGGCTCCATCTCTTCCTTATCAAAGAAAGGCTCAAGCATCTTCACATGGGTTTCTTTCCTGCTCTTTCCATTGAAACCATGTAAGAAACTGCATCTGTTTTGTCCCCGACTACATGAGGTCCATCACCTTATCCCCTAACTCCAAAATTCTAGAGTAGGCTTTAATGAAGATACATGATAGATGCAACAGTAGCTTTTTGCACTGTGCCCAGCCTCCTTTGAAACTGGAAATGGGTGCTGGACATGAACACTAACTTCCATTCTGAAACTGTAATGCTCAAGCCAGGGATTATGTTTATAATTTTGTATTTTCTCTATTTAAGCGCAGGTGTGTCTGTGTGGATAGCAGTCAGTTATTTGAACATATGATATAGAATTGTACCTTGAAAGACAGGTTAACCATATTTTATTCTAATAGCATTCAAGGAAGGTACTGAATTATGAAGAGATAAATGGAAAACCGAATGGCTGAGTAGACAAGTTAAACCAACGGACTTGTTTTGCTTGGCTGGTTTTCTTCTTTAAGAAAATTCATTTCATTATGATATTTTTCTCAGCAATGCCAGAAATCAAGAGTGGCTCTGGAAAAAGTAATACTTCTATATAGTGCTGTTTAGAGAGTTTCAACACCTTATGTAAATTTTTTGTAATCTTTACAAAAACTTGGTGTGATAGGGCAATATTGTTATCCCCATATTGCAGATGGGAAGCTGAGTTGGAGTGGTTAATATTTAAGCCCCACCTTACACTTGTGGCACAAGGTGGTTTCCAGTTCCAAAATTTAATAACATGCAAAAATACAGGAAAGCCCCATTTATCCCCTGCACCAAGAAACTACCTGCAGTGTAAACTCTGTTAAAAGCAAAAAGTTCTAAAGATGGTGTCTCACCTTCCATTGCAGAAAAAAGGGATGGGGCCTTAAGTGAGGAAACAGAACGTGGTAACCACAACTGTAGCTTGCCTTGGGCCACACAGCAGAGAAAGACTGAAACCACCGGCTTTCCTGGTTTGTAGTCTCCCATCTACACCAGCTCACAGTGGCACAAATAAATCCTGTTGAAGCGGAAACACATACGACTTGGAAAGAGCTGCAGAAATTCAAAAGGCCAACATTTCGTTGTAAGGACTGACAACACATGGGGAGTGGCTGTGGCTCAGTGGTAGAGAATCTTCTTGGCATGAAAAAGGTCCCAGGTTCAATCCTTGGCATCTCCAATTAAGGATGGGGTCATAGGTGATCCAAAAGTCCTCTAGCTGAGATCCCAGAAAGCAACTGCCAGTCACAGAATAGACAGTGCTGCCCTTGATTTGCCATGGGTTTAGGGTTGCCAGGTGTACTTACCCTTGGCAGCGGGGGACCCTCGCCAGTCTCCGGGAGCTCTTCCAGGATGCGTGTGCGCGAAGCGCGCGCCACCAGCATGTCACAGGAAGTGACGTACTACGACCATATGGTTTCCCCCCCGATGATCTGGGCCATGCCCCCAACGTGAGTGACATGGCTGCGTCACCTCTGGTGACGCAACTTCGGGGGGCGGAGTTCCCCCGGGGCCCGATTCCACCATGGTGGAAATCGGGCCTCCAAAGGGGGGTTTTCTCGCCCCCACTTTGCAGCCCTACATGGGTTTGATTCAGTGTAAAGCAGCTTCATGTGTTCATGTGGTCCTTTGGGCAAGACTGATACCAGGAAAGGGTGCTATCTGGCACTACAGTTGCCATGCTGATTTGAGAAAGAGTTGGTGAGAGAGGGTTAGCTGTGAGAGTATGGGGAATTTCACATTACCCAGTTTCACCCGGTTTCAAGCCGGCAATCATCCATTTTGAAGTGAACCAGTACAGGGGTGCCATTTCACACAGGGCTTGCCCCTACTGGAAATGAGTCGGATCAGAAGCGGTTTGGCATTTCAGACTTGCACCGCTTTGTTTTTCCGCCGTTTTCCTCCCGTGCGGGTGATCGATTTTTTTTAAAAAACGTTCGATTTATAGCGCTATAGTGCTATAGCAGTATAACAAAACACTCCATGCATTCCAATGGGATTGATATAATGCTATTCCGTTATACCGCTATAGCGCTGTAACGCTATAAATTGAACGTTTAAAAAAAAACCCAAACAGCCGGAAATCGCCCATGCGGGCGAAAAAAGGCGGGAAAAAAGCGTATCGGAACCGGGAGAGGGCACTGGAGACCACTTGGAAGTGGATGACAGGTAAAACGCTTCAGTCCTGGTTCCTAAATGGGACTGAAGTGTTTGTGTATGAAATGGCAAATAGATTCCGGAAGGGAACCGGTTCGCAAACGGGTTCTGTCTGAAATGACAGACCAGAACCCGTTTGAGAACCGGTTCCCTTCCGGAATCTATCGCCTGTCTGAAATTCCCCTATGTCTCTCCAACTAGGGTGGTTTGGGAGTGGCACTTGCACAGAATTGAGCGATTTCATAGTGTGCTATCCTGTACCCTACTGCTCTGCTTAGCAACGGTGGAAGCCTTGCTCTCGCTCAGGGGTCCCCAACCTTTTTGGACCTGCGGGCACCTGTGGAATTCTGACAAAGTATGGTGGGCGCATCCATAAAATGGCCTCTGCAGGAGGTGGAGCTAGCTGCAATATGGTTGCCGCAGCTCCAGTCACATAGTGAAGATTCTTGTGCTGTGGTGGCAGCTGCTGTCAAAGCAGCATTTAAAAAAAATCTGAACAGCCAATGAGAAGCCTTGCTGGGCAAAAGTTGCCCGGCCCACTTTCTAAAAACACCAGTGGTGAGTGCCAGAAAAGGTGTTGGTGGGCGCCATGTCACCCATGGGCACCATGTTGGGGACCCATGCTGTGACCTTTTCCAACTTAAGTGGTTACAGGGCTATTTTTGGGCAGGAACACACAGGAACGGAGTTCCGGCTGGCTCCCAAGTTGGCCACGCCCAGCAGGAACTCATTAACATAATAGGCCACACCCAGCAGCAGAAACTCATTAGGATTGGCTACATTAGGGGTGTGTGGCCTAACATGCAAATGAGTTCCTGCTACAAAAAAGGCCCTGGGTTTTGACAACAAACAAGGTAAACAGAATAACAAGCAAAAGGTGGGTGTGGCTGGATAACCACACTTCTGGTAACATGGGGGTGCGGCTTAATGTGCTAATGAGCTGTGCTGTCAGGGGTGTGGCTTAATATGCTAATGAGTTTCTGCTGTTGGGTGTGGCCTATTATGCTAATGAGTTCCTGCAGGGCTTTTTCTACAAAAAGAGCCCTGAGTGGTTCTTCTGCCTGAGGAAAAGCCACTTCCATTGGGAGGACATCTCCTTAGGCTGGAGGAAGACTTCAGACTTGGCTGAGTGGGGTAGAAAAGCATGCCAGCCACTGATCTTATGTACTCTTTATTATACTGTCATCTTGCAGAACAAATGGGAGGGGCTGCAGCTCAGTTTCAAAATGTGTCCTTCGCATGCAGAAAATCCCCCATCCAGTCCCCGTCATCTGTGATTAATAGATCTCAGGTTGTTGGGGAAAGGGCATTGGAGAGCTGCTACCGATCAGAGTAAAGGATGCTAAACTAGATCGGCTAATATTCTGACTTGATATAAGACAGCTTTTGCATGTTTTAACTGTTCAGTTGTGAGCAGTCAGCTGTTCTTACAAGGACAGATGCTGATCTTTCTCTCTCTCTTTAATCATAGGGTTCCTTAAAAGGATTTCCTCTCTTGCCACAAGGGATGTCCCAGTTGTGTTGGCCGAACGGCGTCTGACCATTTCTGCCGTCAGTCCCCAACCCCCACGTGAACACCGCTGGAGGCCTAGCTCTGCTAACAGCTCCTTCCTTACCTTTCGGCGAGCAGCCACCCTACCAACAAGGACAACATGAACTCCAAGAATGAGTCAGGTAGGTGAGGGCAGGGAAGGTGATGTTGGGAGGAGCGACATGGCAGTGGTGCTCCTTCCTTGGCTTCAGCCAGTTTGGACCAGAGAAGTGGATGGGGTTTGCTTGCTGTGTCTTTTCAACCGTACCTTGCATGTATGTTTGGAAAAGCGGCTGATGAAGGTGCAGGAACTCCACCTCTTTTTAACTCAGTGGAACATTGGGGCCCATGACACATGTTTTATCGGTTCACTAGCTTAAGGCCAGTGAAATCCGATGGGTAGTTTGAAGAGGGCATCGATGGAGTCCTTCGCTTGTTTTCCCAACCCCAGTCACCGCCTGCTGCTCCCAACTTTCCCCTCTGCTTACCCACTCTCACTGCTCACATGGTAAAGCAGGCCTGGCCCCTCTCATTTGTCTGTCTGCTACCATGGCAGCAACTTTTCCAGTGTGTCTTTGTTGAAACCATTGCCATGGGCAGAGGAACAGTTTTCTAGACCCCAGCCCTGCCTCATTACAGGTTCTGAGAAAGGAGGAAAGAAACGTATTGATGCCCTCTCTTTCCTTCCTTCCAAATATAGTTGGAGGGGAGACTAATGAGACTACTGTTGGAAAAACATTGCCCCCTTGGGAGCGAAAATTTTAGGGGGATCAGTGGGCTGCAACAGGAGGGGGGAAGGTGTGGAAGTCCTGCTCTGCTAGCTTTACTCCATTGACAGGGCTTTGGATCCTGTGACTTCTGCTAAGCCTTCCAGGGAGAAAGACTTCCTCCCACGGGGAGTGAGGTGCTGATAGAGAGGAGGCTTCCTCTGATGAGGTTCTTTCTTGGTGAAAGGGAGTCTTCTAGGTTTGGTTTACACCTGCCTTTTCCAAACAGCATACAGATTTACATTAGGGCTAGCTTCAGGGGCAACATAATCACTTCAGTGTTGTCTGTGGTGCCAATTCCATGAGCAGTAGTTACTGCGGTTCTTCTCTGCGCAGGAAAAAAATAGCCATGCATTAATTCCTGTGTGATAAGCAAGGAAGGCAGGATTCTGCCTCTTAGCGGTTTCCAACATTTTTGGTACGGTGACCCATTCAAGGCTGGCCCAAGTTTTTTTGGGACCTTAGGCAAACTGTGACCTGGGTACTCGTCGAGTTCAGCACTCCAGTTTCTACAGTGGCTAGCCCTGTATTTTGGAGAAACCAACAAGCAGCACACAATAGGTGCAGCGGCCCCCACTATGAACCCCAAGCAAGTGGCATTCCGACATAGGCAGCCTTTGCATATGGAGGTTACATTCCGGCCTTTGACCATCCTCTCCTTCATTACTCCCTCTAATCCATCCTGAACTGCTAAGAAGCTCACTCTAGTAACTATCAGGAGACATTTTACTTGGCCAACATGTATGTGCAGTGAAGAAAAAAATACCTGACATGGAAGATACTGTTTTCAGGGTCTTGGTTTCCAAAATACAAAAGAGCGCAATGGAAAGGACAGGGGCGGCTATTAGGAAGGGCTGGCCCATAACCTACTTTCAGAGGCTTTGCGTACTTTTGGGTCCAGACCCACAGCTTGGGAAACACTGTTCTACCCAACTCCTTCTGTTCCAGAGGTCGGAAAATTTCCCTTGACTCCCTGAATGGTTCTCACACAGTGCAGCCTTAAGAAATGTTACACTCAATCTAAGCCCAATGGCTTCAGTCTCTCTCAAGCATTTCAGGGGAAGCAGCAATGAAATATTAATGAGTCTTTCAGAGTAATTTAACAGTAAGCTGTTGCTGGTCTAAGTGTGAACCAGATAGTGGGAGGCGCATATCCAACATTCTAGCAGTAAACTAGAAGTAAACTGCACGTGTGGATGTAGTGATGCAGAATTTTGGGAATAGAATTCATCAGAGATAGAGAATGTTAGGAACAGTTTAGGACAGATATTATAGCTGTCTATTTGAGCATGTATTTTAGCCTGTCTCACGGGTTTAAAACTGGGAATAATATATAACTTAATATGTATTTTATATTAATCTATATATCTAATTCCCAAGTTGCCCCCTGCGTGCGGATATCTAAATCCACACATCGGGGGCACTTGGGGGGCAGGGAGATTTTCCTGCACATTTTGGGGCAATCCCTAGATGTGCACAAAAATCTAAAAACTGTAAATATTTAAATCCCCCAAAATGTAGAAAAGTATTCACTGTGCATGTGCAGGGAATGCACTGGGAACGGTGCCTCGCAGCCGTTGCGGGGGGGGCTTGGTGGGCCTGCAGCTGCATGGGCCTCGCTGTCGCTGCTGGGGGGGGGGAGAAAGTTTGTCAGTAAGTATTTAAATCCCCCCCAAAGTGTGTAGTTGGGCTGCGGCGGCGGCTTGGTACAACGGAAGAGCAGGCGGTTGCAGAGCCTCCCCCTGCTGCTGCCGCCCCAGCACCCGCTCGCCAGCTGGGTTGGGGGGCCAGCCAGTGCAGCAGAGTCCCTGTGCCTGCCCATCGCACCACAGCTCTCTCCCTTGGCTCTGCAGCTGCCTTCTCTGCGCCTGGCACACACACACCCCCCGATCTCCTGGCAGTCCGCCTTCCGGCTCCCTCACACACAGGAGCGCTTCTCCCCTTGCGCGGCAGCCCGGCTTCATGTCTGCAAGCCTCTCCTGCTTCCTCAGCCCTGAAGAGCCCCCCCCCCCCCCGCGCGCAAGTATCGCGGGTCCCTCTTCTTGTATTTATGGTTCTCTTGTAAGCCGCCCTAAGCCTGCCCCAGCGGGGAGGGCAGGGTAAAAATCTAATAAAGAAATAAGCAACCCAGTGGCACTTGCCAATTACATCAAACCTTGTAACAATGATTCGGGCACTCACTGTGAAACAGCACCATGCACATATGTAGACAAATGTGTCTTCTTCCCTCTTCTGTTTTTAGAGTTTGGGAAATGGTGGCTACTTTCCACCTAGCCTTTTGGCAAGGGTCAGGCCTGTATTTGCTCTGTGCTGCTGTCTGCTTTTTATTGCATTTCTATATGTGTTGTTTGATTTGTTTTATTGTTTGGTCCGTACACTGATCAGTTCCTAAGCCAATTCAGGGTGTTGGTTTCGTCCTTTAAAGCCCTACATGGCTTGGGGCTGGGGTATCTGAAGGACCATCTTCTCCCTGTACATTGCTTCTTGGGAATTAAGATCACAAGGAGAGGCCCTCCTGACTGGCCCAACAATCAAAGAAGCTTGTTTGGTGAGTACATGAGAGAGGGCCTTTTCAGTGGCAGCCCCACAATTATGGGAGAAGCTCCCCGGGGAGTAGTGCCCAGCCCACTTGCGGTCTGTCTTTAGGAGGCAGTTGAAGACAGTTTTATTTAGGACTGCTGCATTTTACTAACTTAGCTTTTATTTATTGGCAGCCCTCATTGGAGATTTTGAATTGTGGTTTTTAATGTGTTTTATATAATTTTATATAATAGCAGTTCGAAAGCAAGAAATTGCAAGTAGATAAATAGGTACCACTTCGGTGGGAAGGTAACAGCGTTCCGTGCGCCTTGGTGTTTAGTCATGCCGGCCACATGACCACGGAAACGTCTTCGGACAGCGCTGGCTCTTCGGCTTTGAAACGGAGATGAGCACCGCAACCCTAGAGTCGGATTCGACTGGCTTTCGAGCAAGGGAACCTTTACGTTTATATATAATTGTTATCTTATTTATATTGTGAGCCTCCTTCAGTTCCGCAGAATAGAAAGGCAGCTAATAAATGTTTTAAATAAATAGATAAAAGATATATTTTCCTTGCATTTTAAACTGTAATTTTGGCTGTGTGTTGAGAGTGGAAATGGCTAAATATAAGTTTCTTAAATTCAATTTAAGTTGCATTCTGTAAATGGTAGGTACATATTTCTTGGTTGCTGTTGGAAATCTTCCCTCCTTCTGGGGCTGATTCAAGCTGACCTGATCTGCCCTTTCATGCACAGCCTGGCCTGTGCAATCGTGCACCTGGGCAGATGGGAGAGCATCCATACAGGATGTAAGCTTCCCCTTTCCTTCCATACCAACTCACAGCAAAGCACATTTAGTATATGGCAAGAAATAATTCTGGTGGCTGGGAGGGTGTTTTTATCTATCCATCTGGGATAGTCCTGCCTTGTCATGGAGAGCTGGACTTGATGGCTTTCCAGACCTTTCGAATTCTGTGAGTAGGAAATTAAGCAGGGCTGATAACTGCACCATTCAGAGAGAAAAAAAAGGGTCACTGGATGTAGAACTAAGAAAAGCTGTACTTTCATCTACCAGGAAGTTAGGTCAATTATTTGCTGATAAAATACGCAAATGAAGTCCATTCCTGTCCCTGGACTCAAGCTTGTAACCCTTGGCTAAGCTATAAGTATGTTGCACTGCTTGGAGTCAGTGTTTGCAGTATTATCGAGTTCAATCTATCTATCTATATAAAATATATATGGAAAATTGCCCGGAAAGCCCAACATGGTGATATCTAATGCATCAGAACTGGGAAACTACTTAAAGAGTATTGTGTTGGTGCTGTAAGATTGTATGCATGTAGCCCAATTTAAATAAGGTGCCTGGGATGTTCAAAGACACATGGGTGAACTCTTGGTGTCCCATTTAAATTGGGCCTAATAGTCTTTACTAACAATCTCATGTGGATTGAAGTTACAATAATTTAAAAGGCTTCGGTAAGCTGATTCTTTTGCCCCCATTGATTTAAGTGCTTGGAGCAGGTTTCTGTGTAGATTATGGTTCTTGCGCATGTTACTATACAAAAATAGGAGGCAAGCATTGGGCTAACACTCTTAAACATCTTGGGTATACTTTCTTTTTAAAGAAAAAATCAGTTTCTCACCCTTATGGAGGAGCAATTTGAAAGGGTTGATGAAGTTGCTACTTTAGGTCAGTAAATCATAATGGGCCTCCACAGGGCCAGCATTGGGGAGGGCTAGTAATTGTTCTTTACATTTGGGGGGAACATTATTAATTCTCCTGAAAGTTCTTGGAGTTCATTATGTACATATCATAAGATGTATCAGGCTACATGGGACCAGGGTTTCTGTTTTTTT